GCCGTCTTGAGCTGTTGGAAGGCCTGTTCACATTCTGGGGCCCATACTACTATCTTGGGGAGGTTTTTACACGTTCCTATATGGCACTTACTAGGCTTTAGGGTCAGTCCGGACTCCCTAATCCGGTCTATTACGGCTCCTATGTGGGTCAGGTGTTAGGGCCAGGAGCTGCTAAAAATGTCTATACCATCCAAGTAGGTGTGTATCAGTGTGTATCAGGGATCCTTAGGACAGGTGTCAATCCATATCTGCCAAGTGACCCGATGTTGGGGTAACATTCCCTATTCTGATGTGTCAGTGTGTATCAGGGATCCTTAGGACAGGTGTCAATCCATATCTGCCAAGTGACCCGATGTTGGGGTAACATTCCCTATTCTGATCTGTGTCGATTATCAGGACCACTGATAGGAGACATGGAAGGTATTAAACTGATCAGAACAATACTAAACACACCACTCCTATCTGGTGTCACATTAGCTTGACCGCGCAGTGCCCCAAATTTGCAGTAAGAGGACCGACCAAGCCTCTTCTTCCATCTCCCTGTTACAAAAATCAATGCCGTGTACACGACCACTGACAGGAGACGTGGAAGGTATTAAACTGATCAGAACAATACTAAACACACCACTCCTATCTGGTGTCACATTAGCTTGACCGCGCAGTGCCCCAAATTTGCAGTAAGAGGACCGACAGGCTCTTCTTCCATCTCCTATTTACAAAAAATCCTCGTGTACACGACCACAAGTAGGAGACGTGTTATTAAACTGATCAGAACAATACTAAACACACCACTCCTATCTGGTGGCACATTAGCTTGACCGCGCAGTGCCCCAAATTTGAATTAAGAGGACCGACCAAGCCTCTTCTTCCATCTCCCTGTTACAAAAATCAATGCCGTGTATACGACCACTGATAGGAGACGCGGAAGGTATTAAACTGATCAGAACAATACTAAACACACCACTCCTATCTGGTGTCACATTAAACCCCGACCGCGCAGTGCCCCAAATTTGATAAGGACCGATGACCTCTTCTTCCATCTCCCTGTTACAAAAATCCAGTAATACGACCACTGATAGGAGGCGATGGAAGGTATTAAACCCCAGTCAGAACAATACTAAACCTACTCTATCTGGTGGCACATTAAGCTTGACCGCGCAGTGCCCCAAATTTGCAGTAAGAGGAATAGACCAAACCTCTTTACACCTGTTACAAAAATCCAATGCCGTGTACCCACGACCACTGATAGGAGGCGTGGGAAAGGTATTAAACTGAAGAACAATACTAAACACTCCACTCCTATCTGGTGTCACATTAGCTTGACCGCGCAGTGCCCCAAATTTGCAGTAAGAGGACCGACCAAGCCTCTTCTTCCATCTCCCTGTTACAAAAATCAATGCCGTGTACACGACCACTGATAGAAGACGTGGAAGGTATTAAACTGATCAGAACAATACTAAACACACCACTCCTATCTGGTGGCACATTAGCTTGACCGCGCAGTGCCCCAAATTTGAATTAAGAGGACCGACCAAGCATCTTCTTCCATCTCCCTGTTACAGAAATCACTGCCATATCCATACAAATTGTACAGAATGTCAGGATAGTTTTCCAGGGACAAATGTTGTCGCCTGTTGAACGAGGTGACCTTGCTCGGGTCCCAGGTGTACGGTTCCTAAAATGGCTGCCATATACACGTCCACTGATAGGAGATGCGGAAGGTATTAAACTGATCAGAACAATACTAAACACTAATAGTTTCTCTCCTGTATGGCTCCCTCAAATGATGCTTAAGATTAGAAGCGGCTGAAAAGCATTTCTCACCCTCCGAACAAAAATATATTTTTTTAACATTCTCTCCACTTTAAACGAAATGACGTTTGGGAAGAGATTAACATAATTAAACACAGGCAGTAAAAATACAGTTTTTAGCCATACCCTGTAACTTTAAAACTACACATCCCATCTTCATAATTACATATTTGGAATCAACACACTTAAAACATAAACATAACCAAAAATCAGCCAAATCCATCCAGGGGTTAAAAAGTTAGCTGGAGGTCCCTTTATGACCGACCGCAAGCACATTTTCCTGCCCAAAACAGTTCCATAGATTTGGGCTGTGAGGTCGGTCTATTTCAGGCTGAAAAAACGACTAGTCCCATCATGGACTTGAGTCTACAACAAGTAAGGCTGAAAAACGGCTGAAAAAGGCAAGTCCCATGGCGAATGGGACTTAGTCTCTACGCTGAAATAAGGCTGAAAAAAAGACTAAGTCCCATGCCGAATGGGACTTAGTCTCTGCAGCTGAAATAAGGCTGAAAAAAACGGCTGAAAAAAAGACTAAGTCCCATCGCCGAATGGGACTTAGTCTCTGCAGCTGAAATAATTTCCCATTTACTGAACCAAGTGGGAAATAGCAAGGCAGGCACAAAGGGTTTGCACCAGGTCTGGGGACACAGGGGACACCGTCTTAAAGGGGCCGTGTCCCCAACAAGTCTGGGGACACGGCCTTAAAGGGGCAGTGTCCCAATCTTCCTGATGTCCCAAAAAAGGTGTTTAAAGGGCCAGCACCAGTCACATAAAGAGTCCATAAGCCCCAATATGCCCACCGACAGTCTTAAAAGGCCATACACACCAAATAAAAGTGCATACATTTTCACAATCTCCCAGGGGCCATAGTCATGCGGGAGGAGGCTGGCAAAGAGGCTTCTCCACAACCCAGGGAAACAGGGCAATTTGCCATTTAAAGGGCCTGTTACAAATAGCAGTTTGTAACAAGGTGTCAATCCATATCTGCCAAGTGACCCGATGTAGGGGAACAGTCCCTATTCTGCTCTGTGTCAGTGTGTATCAGGGATCCTTAGGACAGGTGTCAATCCATATCTGCCAAGTGACCCTATGTAGGGGGACCAGTCTCTATTCTGCTCTGTGTCCGTGTGCATCAGGGGCTCTGAGGACAGGTGTCAATCCATATGTCAAGGTGTCAACATGTCTTATGTCAGGTGTCAATCCATATTGATTGTGATTTAGGAATGTTAGGTGATTTCTGCCCTTTATGGATTAAAACCAGACTCTGTATCAACTGTGTAATTTTCCATGGGAGTTTTGCCATGGATCCCCCTCCGGCATGCCACAGTCAGGTGTTAGTCCCCTTGAAACAACTTTTCCATCCCTATTGTGGCCAGAAAGAGTCCCTGTGTGTTTTAAAATTCGCCTCCCCATTGAAGTCAATGGCGTTTCGGGCGGTTCGCCGGTTCGCGAACATTTGCGGAAGTTCGCGTTCGCCGTTCGCGAACCGAAAATTTCGGGTTCGCGACATCACTACTGGTGGACTCCCTGATGTGTAGTAGCTTCTGGACTACTTGATATATGGTGACTGGTGGACTCCCTGATGTGTAGTAGCTGCTGGACTACTTGATATATGGTGACTGGTGGACTGCCTAATAAATACGACTTCTGGGCTTCCTGATGTATGGCGAGTGGTGAGCTACCTGTTGCAGTGCCACCATCAGAGGGTGACAACCATGACGGTTATCATGGACCCCACACTCCCCTATTTATTCAGGCTATTAGCAGATTCAACGTAGGAGGGAGCATTGATCCCTCGCTGCCCTGAATCCGTCAATAGCCAAAAGGAATAGACGCCGCATGAAACAAAGCGGGGGAGGGAGGCCAGTGTTCTATCAGATTTCTCCACCCCGTGGGGAAATCTGATAGAACACAGGTGTTCTATTAGATTTCAGGACCCCTTCCTTGAGCTTGCAGGGAGATCAATAGCTCTCCCTGTCTGCTCTTAGCTTTTGGAAATGGACTTCCTGGTGGCCTGCTGGTGGACTCCCTGGTGGTCCAGTGTGTTGTTGAGCTCACAGGTTTTCTACATTTACAGATATGACAAACTTTTTTGCATAATACAGGGAGGAGTATGCAGATACAGTAATTACAGTGGGGAAATGGTCAGAGCTAGCTCTTGCAACACCATGGGTGTCCTTCACCATCTTACTTTAAGCTTACAATAGGCAAGATGTGACACGGTTGACGTAG